AGGAAAAGAATGTGCTGATGTCTCTGTTGCTTGTTGACTTTCCTTACAGAGATGCAAAAAGAACTTCTAAATGCAAATAGTAGTGGTAGGAAATGTTTAGAAATGTTCTTCAGCTCGAGTAACTTGGAGGTTTCTAGATCTAACCACCAACCAAGAAATGTTACCGAGCGAGTGAGAAAACTTGTGTGGTGCTCAGGAAGGAAGCACAGAGTGAGGAAATGTAAAGCTGAACACAGAAAGCTTGGGATGAATTTGCTTCAGCCAGGCTAAAGAAACAGAAACCAGTATGGGCTTTTCCTTCTTGAGCATAAATTATTATAGCTGACCTGTTTCTTCAGTACAGAGTAAGGGTCCATGTCTTGGCTTTTTGCTCCTAAGGAGGCTCAGGCTTTTTGATGAGTCCCAAAGCCTCTTCTTACAGTACCAAGAGCAATCCTTCCAACTACTGCTGCAGTAACTCAGGCTGAGCTTATGACACAAAGGTTAGACTTCATGATTTGGGACATGATTTCAAAGTCCTGATTTCCTCTGTAGGGTGTTTTTCTAATGCACATTCAGCTCTTCTCAAATACTGCAGCAACAACCAGCATTCAAGGGCAAATCCCAGTGGGACAATCCAGCATTGCCCTGGCTAACAAGGGAGCACTGATGCTCAAGAGCTAAACATCTGAAGAGAGAAAATTCAGGGTGAAACAGGAAATCAATAGCCATCTGGTGTGTCCTTTCCATTGGATTAGGTCTCCATGAGCCATTTTGTTAACCTAATGCCATTTTTATGGACTGAGCACTATTTGTGCAGTGGAGAAGGTGGAGTTGGGCTGGCGATCTTGGGATTAGCAAATCATAGAATCACAGGATGGTTTGGGTTGGAAAGGACCTGAAAGATCATCTAGTTCCAAATCCCCTGCCATGGGCAGGGACACCTTCCACTAGATCAGGTTGCTCAGAGCCTTGTCCAACCTGGTCTGGAACACTTCCAGGGATGGGGGGTCAACAATCTCTCTGGGCAAACTGTGCCAGCACCTCAGCACCTCACAGGGCAGAATTTCTTGCTAGTATCTGATCTGACTCAAACCTCCTTCAGCTTAAGGCCATTCCCCCTTGTCCTAGCACTTCATGCCCTTGTGAAAAGTCCCTCTCTGTCCTTCTTGTAAGCCCCTCTAGGTACTGGAAGGCTGCTCCAAAATCTCCCTGACCACAGGATGATGGAACATTTGAGGTACAAAACTCTGAGCAACTCAAGAAACCTGTGGAGTATTTCAGAGCACTTCATGTCTTTCTCCTGGCTGCTGAGATAAGAATTTAGGATCAACAGACTGGTTTGCACCTTTCCTCACTTAATACTTGATGTTGGTGTAGACACAGACTGAGCTAGGGACACCTCTCACCAGCGCAGGTGGCTCCAAGCCCCATCCAACCTGGCCTGGAACACTCCCAGGGATGGAGCAGCCACAGCTGCTCTGGGCAACCTGTGCCAGTGTCTCACAGTACAGAACTTCTTCTAAACCTGCCCCCTTCAGCTTAAGGCCATTCCTCCCTGTTCTGTCACTCCATGCCTGTGTAAAAAGTCCTCTCCAGCTCTCTTGGAGCCGCTTTAGGTACTGGAAGGCGCTATGAGATCTCCCTGGAGCTTCTCCTCTCCAGGCCGAAGCATCTCCTCCTAATTCTGAATAGCTGGAAAACATCAGAGCAGAAGCTTAGTCAAAAAGTTTCTATCTTTTCAGAGAAAGAGAGAAAAGCTTCATTTGTTTTTGCTCCAGGAAGCTCTCTGCACCAACGGAGAAGAAAGTCCCTTTCTAGAATAACAAGCAATTCATTAGCACTTGGTGTACTTTTTGAAGGTCACCACTGCAGATATTTGTGATAACACATCCTTTCATGCACATGTGCTCTGCTCTGACGGGCAGAGAGCGCTGGGTGCAGGGCTGTCACCTGAAGGGCAGGGTTTGGAGGGGGTTTCTGTTGTCCTCCTTGTTTTTCAGGCAGAGAAAGACAATTCTCACACCTGGCCAGTGCTCACTGATGGTTCAGGCCTTGGAAAGGGTGAGGAAGGAAAAACAAGACATATGCAGAACATTGCTATATTTCAAACGACCAAAGCTCCATGTTCAATTTTCATCATTTGCCTTCCGTGATGCTGTGGGATCAGGTCATTAAGGACTTCAGGACACTCTCCCTCTGGCTACGCTGCTCTTTTTAAGTGGTGAGACACTGGCCCGGGTTGCCCAGGGAGGCTGTGGCTGCCCCAACCCTGGCAGTGTTCACAGCCAGGTTGGATAAAGCCTGAGCAACCTGCTCTGGTGAGAGTTGTCCATTCCAACCCCTAAATTCTATGGTTCTGTGAGACAGGCTGGGCTAGCTCGCTGTCAATGCAGTTCAGTATCAGCCCCTTTGCCAATAATCAGGATAATATCTCTGAAGGAAGAGGCAAGAAATCACTCCTAGACAAGTGCAGGATAATCAGCTCTTGTCCTTTACCTTGTCCTAACTTCCAGTCACTGTGTTGGTTTATAACATACAAGATCAAGGTTTTTCTCTCTTGTGTGAGATGGAGGACTCTGGATAAACACACAGCTCTTTGTTTCTTACTACAGCAGAACCTTGGGAATTGCAGAGGTGCCAAAAACCTTAAGGCATTGGTCAGTAAGTCAGAGCAGTTCTGGATGCTAATCTCCTTCAGCTCTCCAGAGAGGTATAGCAAATAACAAAGCCATAGAAAGGATCACAGACCCATTGAACAATTCAGCTTGGAAAGGAGTAGCCCAACCTGCTGCTTCACTTCAGGCTGAAACTGAGATCCCACCTGGAGTTATTCCATTGGGTCTTGAAAATCTCCAAGGATGGAGACTGCACAACCTCTCTGGGCACACTGTCCACGAGCACCTCAGTGCCATCAGTGCTGCTACCACCAGTCATTCTGCTCATGCCAAGAATGCTGTGATGACAGGAACTCAGAGAATCCTCTTTGAGGATTAAGTTCTTGGATTCAGCTGTTTTGGGCTGGAAATGGTTGTTTGTGAGAACTTGATCTCAGTCTGCAGCGAGCGGAAGGGTGACCTTACGCATCTGTGAATCATCTGCACAGATGTGTTTCCAGAGTCAGGTCACACTGCTGGGTAACAACCCACAGTTCTTAGAACTGAATCTCCACTCCAGGATCTGATAATTGGGTTAGGTTGGAAATCAGGGCAAGGCTCTTCCCCCAGAGGTGTGTGGGCACTGGAGCAGGGTTAGGTTGGATATCAGGACAAGGTTCTTCCCCCAGAGGTGTTTGGGCACTGAACAGCTCCCGGGGCAGTGGTCAGGGCCCCAAGGCTGACAGAGCTCAGGGAGTGTTTGGCCAATGCTCTCAGGCACAGGGTGGAGTGTTGGGGTGTCTGTGCAGGGCCAAGAGTTGGACTGATGAT